GACGTCCATTTTGAATACGAGTTAACCGGCCGATTAGCAAGTTAACCTACCTAGCGAGGAGGGTTAAATTTAACCCTTGTTTTAACCGAGGATTAAGGATAACCTAGCTTTGAACAACGCAAAGTAACCCTAGGTTAAGTAAATTTAACCTTAGGTTAGCGTTAATCGGCTTTTGAACAACCGGCCCCAGCTTTGATTTTCTCGGCTTAAGCCCAGGTCACACTACACAACGATAACGATACGATAACTTGTGTATGCGCGCTGATTGGTCAAAAATTTATCGTTATCGTACAACTGAAAAAAAAATCGCTCACCTGAGCGATTTTAAAATCGTTATCGTCTAACGATAATTTTATCATTTTCGTTGTTGTGTGGACACTAACACATTTTTTTCCCAATTATCGCGTGTTTGCAATTTATCGTTATCGTTGTGTAGTGTGACCGGGCCTTAAGACCAGGGGCGGATCTAGGATTTTTCGTACATTAGTAAAAAATTTCGTTGCTGAACATTGGGGGAGGGGGTACTTTTGACTGGGGAGGAGGGTACGTCTGACAGGGGGGCAAGGGGGGGGGAGGTTGCCAAGCAAATTAATACTTTTAATTAATATGTATTCTGTTTACGAAGAAATCTAACTTAAAAAATTGCTTTTTCGCCCAATGTCAAACAGATATCCAATTCTCATCGAGAAATAGATTGACAAGGATGACTTGACGTTTTAAAAATTGTTATTTAATCGCATATTTTTTCCTTTGACATGGATGTTTAAAAATTGTTATTTAATCGCATATTTTTTCCTTTGACATGGATGGTCAAAATATTTTGCAATATAGTGATGCAGTTTAAAACATTGATTGATTGTTAAGCAGGAAGAGATTTTCCACGTTTAATTCACTGCTCCTCGAGTTTCATTCCTGGCAGAAACATGCGCCATGAATAAGTATTCACAATGGCAACATGATCCATTTTACTTGTTGTATACATGTTGTAGAGATCGTATTACACAAGTCGTTCCTGGTTAGGTCTTAAAAAAATGTATATATTCCCACTTGGATTACAAACCCTAACATTCTAATATTAATTCCACCAAGTGAAGTGCAAGAATCCAAATCATTGAAGTCCACCTTATCACAACCCGCACACTGGCCGATTACCTATATATACATGAACTTACGGTTACAGCTCAACAGCTGGCCCCTGTAGCTCAGTTGGTTAGTGCGATGCACCGGAATCGCAGGGCCGTAGGTTCAATTCCTACCAGAGGACCTTGTGCTGCATTTTTCGCAGTGGTTCCTGGTTAGGTCTTAAAAAAATGTATATATTTCCACTTGGATTACAAACCCTAACATTTAAATATTACACAAGGCCATGCTACATATTTCATATTTGTCGTGTTCTTGCAGTTTAAAATAGGTATAAATATATACAGTGTTATTATAGGTAGCTATCTGATTAATATATAAAGTCCACATGTCACAAGAAGCATAAACAAAGTATAAACACACTGAAACTGCCTGTATTAAGCCGCAGTATTTATGTAAATTGAGGGAAATGTTATGTAAATTTCGTCTCATATTATTATACGTCTTATACGCGTACCCGCCGATATTATAGCATGTGCGTATAGATGTGTGATTCACCACAGTATGCAACAGTTATAATGCTAATATCTAGTTAAAATAGAATATATATATATATATATATATATATATATATATATATATATATATATATATATATATATATATATATATATATATATATATATATATATATATATAATATTCAATATTGAATTTGTGCGTAGTGAACTAGAGTGCTCAACACCAATAAATCAGTAGAGCAAATAAAAAGACATAAACAACAAATTTCAATCTTAAAATTTTATTTCATCGCCAAAAAAAAAAAAAAGAGGACCTTGTGCTTTGTGCGACCTTTTTTTGCGATGAAATAAAATTTTAAGATTGAAATTTGTTGTTTATGTCTTTTTATATATATATATATATATATATATATATATATATATATATATATATATATATATATATATATATATATATATATATATATATATATATATATATATATATATATATATCTTAAGGCCGTACAAAAGATTTTTGTCTTCTCTCAAACATACTTCAGGATGTAAGATTCCGCACCAAAATATCGTGCGAGGAAGGCTGCTTATGTTATTCACAACGCTCAGCTTCAATATCTTTGACATTTTGTCGATTGTCATTCTCTAAAGCAGCCTTTACGGTTTCGTAAATACTAACAGACATGGCTAGTATTAGTTAAGAATTTCTGATAGTAAATCTTCCCATTGAACTTTAAAGACCATGTCAAGTCCGTTCTGCGCAAGCCTACATTCCGAAGGTCGGGACCCGACCATTGGAATGTTATTAATATGAGACAAAATAACAATATGATAATGATGAATTTTTAAAGTTTCAAGATAAATAAAGCAGTGTTTTAGTAAGCAAATTTTGGGAAATTTTTAGTCCTGCTGGGCAGGACAAGCAGAACCGCTAGCTACGCTACTGTCGACAACTTAACCTAATTCTCTTTGGTTAAATTAAATTATTGTATATAGATTGTAAGTGTTTGTATTTCTAAATAAAGTATATATGTATATGCATAAATATGATCATTATGACATCTTCTAGAATGTCTACATCTACCGAACCGGACTCGAACCGGTGCCCTACATCAACCTCACATCGACCTCTCATCGACCCTACATCGACCTCTCATCGACCCTACATCGACGTCTCATCGATCTCTCATCGACCCTACATCGACTTCACATCGACTTTACATCGACTTTTTAGAGGCATAAATTGTACAAAACGTTAATCCGTGTCTGTTAACCCTTTGAGTGGTAGTACTCTCCCCCTGACCAGTAAAATCGTTAGACAGGGTAAAATAGTAAAGTAGGGCGCATCTGGGCGCATTGCCACTCAATGTGTTAACAGGGTGCATGGGCAGATGTCTGATTAACCCATAGAGTTCTAGCAAAATGCGAAGACGCATACCCCGAGGGAAGTCCCAGGGAACCCCAACAAAACCCCTACAGAACCCTTACAGAACCCCGACAGAACCCAGAGAGAACTCCGAGAGAAACCACTACAGAATCCCCCCAGAATCCTTGCAAACCCTTAAAGCAATAATGTTATTACAATTAAATAATATTAATTATTAATAATAATAATAATAATATTAATAATAATATTAATATTACACTAATAATTATGTTATAATTATTACAAGCAAAACAGTATCCTAGCAACAATATTTTTCTCTAAAAATGTATACATTTTCGTGTTCGCCATACCCCCTTTTTCCTCCTTTTGAGAAAGCTCCATGCAAATGAGCAAACGTGTCCGTAAATTGTACAGTATATTGTGCAGTATAATCCACGTAGTTTTAAACTTTTTCACTTTGACTTGCTTAACAATTGTTACAGTAAAATAATTATCGATAACCTCGTCAGATGTCTCTACATCATAGATCGATCTTTGCTCTCCACGGCCTTCCTGAAACAAAGGTTCATCGTCGTTCCAATCAAGCAGAAAACCCTCCCTTTCTTTTCTTCAGCGTCCATTGTTGAGTTAAACTATGTAGATCTTCGTTTGGCATTACTTCTCAAAGAGACTCATCATCGTTCCAATCAAACATAAAACACTGCCGTTGTTCAGGCGTCCAGGAATCAGAAAGGTTTGCTGCTAATCTTTGTTGCTCGTTCTCAATTCCCCATTTCAGCAAACGACTGATTATCTCGACTTTGTTCGCGTACACAAGTCTTTGTTCAACCTCGCTCAAAAATACATCTTTTCCAGTTCAGCAACCGTTTGACACGCAATAATTCTCGTATCCATATCTAAAAACAAACGCTTAATGCGCGAATCAAATCGAAACCTTGACATCCCCCTCCCCGGGCATACCCACGGGAATTTGGATTTTGACATTTTGGTCAGATCAAATTCCCTACATATATTTGTAATTCCCGCTCAAATACACCACGTATTGGGAAAAATTGGAGTTCATATACCCCACCCCATGTACGATTTGGAAGCTACAGCATTTCGTAGTTTTGGAATTACAAAGTTTTTCTTTCCTTCAGAAACTCTCTTCAATCGTTCAAAGCCGTTTTCTTGTAGCCAACCAAGGACAAAGTTTTAACTTAGAAATTAAAATTTCTTTGCACTTGAACTCATCCATTGACGCCATTTTGGATTCAGCACACGTGTTTAAAAGAAAAATTCAAATTCCCAACCCCCTAAACAAATTCCCCACCTTCCACTAGAAAAAAGGTCAAATTCCCTACGCATTGCACCAATCGTTTTCAATATTCCTGAAACACTACAAACACGTTGGAATAGAATCACTTCACAAAAATTTTATTAGTCGGATGAATATGGTCACAATTAAATTTTGGAAAAAAGTAGTAAATCCCATACATTGGTGATAACTGTACTTCCGGTTTACAATACTATTTCAGAAACTACCAATGAGTCGCTCTAATTAGCTACATTTTAAATTTTCATTAAAATTGATTGCATTTTGAGTTAGATATGACTAAGTTTGTTGTAACAGCCAAAAAAAGGTGTTCTAAAACATTTGACCAGTATGCATATTCGCTTGGTAGCCTTGGTTTATTCACCAAGCCCAGCCTTCTACTGGGATCCCGCTGGGGTAAAAATATTTTGCATATTACACTCTGACTATGGGTCTTCTGAAACCCACTATATTAATAATTCTATATTATTTTACAAATGATTTTGCTAGTGAACGGGAGATTCCTGTAAAAGAGATGCAGTGACGTATTTAGCAACTTATAGTTACTCTGCTTTAAAGGCTGCTTATTATATTCTATTGAAAGCAAGACAATATGCGTATTTCGCTTGTCAAGTTTTGCCAAGTAATCGTTTATTTTGTACTTTTGACAGTATTGTATATTGTATCCCTATAGGAAAGTATAGTTACTTTAAAAACATTTATTACAGGTTCATGGGTTAAGAGTGTTGTGCTATGTTTTAGGAAGATGAAAGTGATATCGCCGAACGTCGCATTACCGGTGGTATAAAATTCAAAGTGTATAAAGACTATTTTCTTGCTGGTGCTAGGCCTATTGCCCTCTTGTTATGTTTCATAATTTTCTTAACTGGGCAGGTATGAACAGTTCTCATAAAATATTTAGTATATAATTTCTTGATGTGGAGAATTTTCAAGCCGAATATTTTGTAATTGGTCATATCACGAGAAAATAAACTAATAAATTATAAATATACTGTATTTATATATGGCTATAATTGGATGTGGAATTCATCACTTCAGCATAAAATTCTTCAGTATACTTACAGTACGATATATTTTCTTTTCGTTCAAATATTCGTCAGAAATGATTTCAGAGCCTTTCATTATATATGGTTAACCTCTGGCACCTATATAGGGTAGTGCATTTTTTGCTCAACATTGCGTCAATGTTGTGACGTCATACCGTGCGATAATTCTCCATATCACACCCATAATGAATTATTGACGTCACAACTAGTATTTTATCAGCCATTGAGTTGATATGACGATTTCACCGTTGGCTGTTAGCTAGAAATCATGACATATTTAACCGAATATATAGGTAACGATGAATTGGCTTTATGCAACTATAACGAATTTGGAAATCAAGAACTATGTTGACTAAATAACGGCATTTTACGAGGCAATTACTCGAATCTAAAACTGACCTACCGCATATCAAAGGCCCTTGAAAGATTGCACTTATACACTAGAAGGGTACCTTAGGATTTCTGCATTGATTTTTTTATTTTTATTTGGTTACTTTAGGTGTCTTTAATGATTTCTGAATGGTGGCTAGCGCAGTGGTAAGTGTATTACATTATAATGCATCTGATTGTAGGATTTTGTATGTTTAATAGATAGTATAATTTATATATTTGAAGAACAAAACATTCAACCTTTTGTTAAACGCAACAGAATTAAAGATTGTCTTTTTATCATTAACCATTTTATCAGCAACCTAATATTTCTTTTCACTTTCACAGAAAGTACAACCCCGAGTCCAACTATAGTATTTATAGGCTCCAATCTCATATCCAATACAACTGTGGATTCCCATTAGGCTTAACACAACCTTACTGAAATTGGCAAATAATTATCAATTATTGGACGAGGTTGAGCAAAATATCGTGATTTGTCGGTGGCGAGCAGATCAATTATTTGCCCAATGCCGAAGGCAGAGGCAAATAATTGATCTGCGAGTCAAATAATCGATCAAATAATCGATCAAGAGTTTCTTTTGAGCCAACTAGATCGTCTTCGTTGATTTGTCTGGTTTCTAAATACTGGCGAAAGACATTGACGGCGGTTTTAGTCACTTTTTTGTGTTTTCCGCGTTTTTTTCTTCAAGTAACTTTCCGAAAGTTCAGTAAAGCGAGCCGCCATTGTTTACAAAAATTGAAGGCATTGCGCATGCTCAGACTATTATTTGTAGCTGAGCAACGTTTTTAACAAATGCGCATGCTCAGACTATTATTTGCACGCAGTTATTTGCAGGTAAATTAATCGAGTATTATGTTAAATAGGTACACTTAGATAATTTCGTTCAAACGTCAAACCGCAAGCATTTTTCATATTTAAACATTTTATCTCAACTCTAGGAGTTGAAAGTACGAAAATAAATATGAAAAACGCGTCTATATAAGTAAGGCAACATTAATGTGATTAAAGTGCCCATGCGAGAATTTTTTTGTGATTGAATTGCAAAGTTCATTTAAAATCATAATGTAACTTATTTTCTAAAACTTTGTTATCTTTCCTGTATGTCAAGATTTTCAACTTTGTTTGATATGCGAATGTGACTTAAATGACGTCACACTGCATAATGAGTTTTTGGAAAGAAAACGTTTCCTTGCCAAACATGTGATAATTCCACTGCCATCGAAAGTTATATATTTTAAGAACTATCAAAGCTATAATTTCGTCTGCAAATTTGAATTAATGACAATTTTATCAAGCTGAAAAACAGTCTTCTATAAAATGCATTATGCAGTGTGACGTCATTTAAGTCATATTTGCATGCCAAACAAAGTCCAATATCTTGACATACAGGAATGATAACAAAGTTTAAGACTAGAAGTTACTATCGCAAGGCAAGTGCTGCCTTACGACCAAAGCCCTGGGGATTGACTATACCAATAAACTTCATTTATTAATTGCCTTAGTTTATACCGTTAAAATGTGAGTTTTAAATAATAATAAAGTTACACACTAAAGTATAAAGAGTGAAGGTAACATTTTGGGGGCTCAGGCGGGAATCTAACGATGTATTTCAACGTATTTGGCGACAAAATGAGTGTATAAAGTATACGGCGTGATCTTTGGGATATAAATATGGCTGCAGCTGAAGAAACAGAGATTATATTGGACGGTAAACTGCTGGCGTCGTTGGGTGTCACAGACTTGACTGAATTCGGCTTGTATCTGAAAGTCGATAAAGCAAAGATCGAAGGACAGACAAAGGTAAAAATTATTAAAGTAATTCGAACCGAACTCGAAAAGATTATAAACACGTTCGATTCTGACGAACAGACTAACGAATATTTAAAGGGTTTAATTGATTTTCTCGACCAAAATGCTCAGCCTAAGCCGTCAGATGAGGAAGGTAACACGTTAAAGCCTTCTTCTGAGCTCGAAAAGCTCGAAATAGAGCTAAAAGCAATTGAGTCGCAACAAAAAGCTATTCAAGAAAAGCTTTTACAAGCAAAACAGTCGGAAAATATTCCCAAGTCAAGTGGAAGCAGCCCTACTGTTGCTGACTCAACAAAAATGCCTTTGTTGGGGTTAAACTCGGGCTTGCAGGCAACAATTTTGCATAGAGATTTCAAGATTCAAGGAACAATAGGCGAAGTTGGGCAAAGGGACAAATTAGGCTACCAATCATTAATGTTGCAAGTGGAAATTGGGTTAGGGAAAGGTTATACAAATAAAGAAATAGTTACTGCAGTAATTAGAGCTGTTCAACCTGGTTTACAGCTTCGAAGCTACTTAGAAAGTGTAGGTGACCTAACCCTAGCTAGACTGTGAAAGATTCTTCGCTTTCATTTTCACGAGAAAAATGCAACCGAATTGTATCAGGCATTGACTAATATAGCTCAACAGCCGAATGAAGATTCCGAAGCATTTCTGATGAGAGCACTAACCATCAGACAGAAGATTTTATTTGCTTCGAAGGAATCAGGTATTGAGATTACGTATGACAGTTTTTCGGTACAAAGTTTATTTCTACCGGGTGTCCCCAAAAAAGTACTCCTGCATGTTTGATTCGTAATAACTTCTAAACAAGTAAAGCTTTTAAAGAGAAATAACTTGCATCAAATAGAGGAAGGATTAACTTAGATTTTGATATATTACAGTTGTATTTCACTTAAAATTCACGGAGATATTAATGTTTAAAATCGGGAGCATATTTCTCGATGTGTCTGAAACATGCAAAAAACGGCGTATCAAATATTAATCAAGATTTGCCCGACTGAAACATGCACTATTACCAGTAAGTGTTCCTAGCACGAATACGTTTCCTTATTTCATGAGACCACTGCATCGCGAAGGATCGTCATCGATCGTTCGTAGTTCTGAATTAGGGCATGCTGTCACAATGGAATTGTGAAGCTCTTCTAACTTCTGCAACGTTCTGAAATCTTGTTAGGAACACCCAAACTCTTTTGCCTTTTCTTAATCTTGGCAAGTTCAGAGTAAACTGAGAATTATATGAAACACAATCAAACCATACAACTTCATAAGACATAACTTATCATAACAATTAAGCAACTCCCCAGAGACATGCAATATTTTTGGAATAAAACGTAACAAAATAGTAGCATTGATACGCGGTGATGCGTATTTGCAAAAAGCAATATTACTTCTTTCAATAAAGAATATTATTATACGGCAAGCATTTGTTTTGATGAATCGCGCAATTTGATTGGCTGCTGACGAGGCAGGATTTTCCCGTATTGCCCACGGGCAATACGCAATTTTTTTGCCCCGCGACAAGAGCCGAGTTTCAAACGGCAAAAAGTGTCTAAAAGTCTTTCAAAACGAAGAAAAATAAACCTAAACTAAAGAAAAGGAGCACCTTCTTTGGATAAAGAACTTTCTCAATATGTTTTTGTTAGCGAAAGTCGAAATTACAAGGTAAATTTTACAATGTTTATAACTATTAAAGAAGTCAGGAATAGCTGTGTTTTGACATTGTGAAGAGCTGCAAATCTTATTTGCAGATAGCCGAGGAATTTGACACCATCCTAAATAAAAAATACAACTAAAGCAGCCACAGATTTATATTTTTCCCCTGAAAATTTCTGGGGGTTTTCGATAAAAAGAGATATATTTATGAGATGAAGCGAACTAAAACCGTATACTTGTCCATACTGTTTATTAATTTTATTGTTTTCATATTTGTTGTCTTTGTCTTTGATTAAATGACGAAATACCTCGTATTTTTCTTGAAATACTATCCAACTGTGTTAGTATTCTATATAAAAATTGCTGTAGAGTAGTTTTACTAACCAAGCTTGAGAACATTTTTTACAAATGTTTCGTACTTTGCCCTCGCGTGACCTTTTTTACCCATTTTTTACAAACGTACAATGCCATATAATATAAAACTTACCGACCTCAACCGTTCGGGCAGTACGGGAAAATATCCAACCTCGGTCTTGCTGTATTGACCTCGCTATCGCTCGGTCAAT